ACGTACTCTTTTCCGTTCTGCGCGTTCAAGGGTGACGAGAGGGGTGTGTGGAGAACTTAGAAAAACCAGTTTTTCTGTCATAAGTCGACTCATGCACAGACATAAGTCGACTTATGGTAAGTAGACTTATGGTAAGTCGACTTATGCCTGTGCACGAGTTGACTTACGTTCTGTTCTGGAGCTGTTGTTTTTGACTTTTGGCAAGTCGACTTAACATGTCTGTTAAGTCGACTCACGATCTGTTCTCCAGTTGTTGTTTTGGGCTCTTTCAAGTCGACTTATAGAGACTGTTAAGTTGACTTATGATAAGTCGACTTGTTCTCACTGATAAGTCGACTTACGACGGTTTTCAGGCCTGTTTTGGTTTTCTGTTTGATTTGAGTTTCTGTTTTGATATAAATTGGAACATGATTTTCTAGGGTCAAGAATTAGAGATTTTAGATTGTACTTGGCATATTGAGAGTGAGAATTTGCGAGCAAGTTGAGAGATTGGTTTAGGGTTTATTTGAGTGATTTTGTGAGATTGTAACCCTTTGTACTCTCATTGATTTAGTGGAATATTCCCATCCTCTCCCCGTGGACGTAGACAAATTGCCGAACCATATATATCTCTGTGTTTGGTTTGATTTGTCGTATTTTGGATTGAATTGTGCTTGTCTGTGGATTGGTTCTCTTCTCCCGTGCTTACAAATTCATTCGGTGTACGAGCAAACTTCCGCATAGGCGCGCAACAGGGTGACGGTAGTATTCCTGTATCTTTGTAGAAAGAGTCGAAGCATACGTTGACACTTAATTCGATGGCTATGTCAATTCTGCAGGTATTATAGACTTTATTATTATTATTATTATTATTATTATTATTATTTAAGAAAAGTATTATAGACTTTATATTTTCAACTGCCTCTTCAATACGTACAGAAGAACTCAACGTGATATTCAATGCCATTATTCTCTATTGTCAGGAAGCTGGTAATACGATTGCTTGGTGGTGATGGTGGAGGAAGTTACCAAATGTGTTGATGGATTGGTATTTATTTTATTGTTTTCTTATAGGCTTGATTTTGTCCTGAGAATGAATATGCATGTATATTCAAATTTAAATGTGTGAATGTGGGATGGTAGGACAAGAGATGGCGGAACCCCCCACGCCCTCCATGCTCACCCATGCTTCCCCCATGCTTACCCATACTCTCTTGTCCCCTCTTCTTTGCTTATAAATAGGAGAGGTAAGGAAAAGAGAAGGTGTGGGGAAGAAAATAAAAAGAGTAGAAATTCTTGAGAGATTTTGAAGAACAAAATTAGAGAGAGAGAGAGCTTGTGAGTTGTACAAGTTTGGTATTCTCCTCACACTAGTACAAAACTAGCCTGTCCAAACGGTTATTAGAACCGTTTGGGCAAATCGAAATAGCCCAAACGGGTACAACCGTTTGGGTTACTTATTCCAAACGGGTATAACTGTTTGGGCTATTAGATAATCCCAAACGGCTCTCCCAAACGGATTAAACTGTTTGGATATTTCAACCCAAACGGGTTACAACCGTTTGGGAGCAGGATGCTAGGGTAAAAAAAAATTGTCATTTTACTTTTTAGGACCCGCGCCCCCCAAACTTCACCCGCGGGTTGAAACATCTGCGCCGAAAATCGCCGAAAATCGCCCGCGCGTCCCCCAAAATTCACCCGCGCGTCCCCCAAAAGTATTTGATCGATCCCCAAAATTCACCAGCCTCATCTAATTGTGATCTTCGCCTCCACCTCCTTCATATCTACTCCCGATCGCTGACGCCTCCGCCTCTGCCTCATCTTCGCCGGAAGCACCTCCGCCTCATCTTCGCCGGAAGCACCTCCGCCTCATCTTTGCGCCGCTGTCGATCCTCCGCCGTCTCCTCCTCCGCATCCATCGATTCCTCCGCAGCGTTGGCCTTCGCCAATTCATAGGTTCGGGTCGTGTTGCTCCTCCGCCTCCACCGCCTCCTGCTCAAGTCGGCCCTTTATCCTCTGTAATTATCTACTCTCAACAAAACCCTAAACCTAATTAATTTGTGTTCGTTAGAGATCCTACCCTCATATTAGATATTATTATGTTAACTTACATCATTGAGATATATAGAATGCTAATTTATATTGTTGCTGCTGTTGTGTGGTGTATATGCCTTCGGCTACACCAGTATATCATCGATACCTAGAGTTCTTTGAAATTTACCATAATCACATATCAACCAACTACAAGTCATGCAGAAAAATCCCAGCAAAGACCTCCAAGTCTGAGATGGTAAGCAGGGACATGGTGCTTGCAGTTTGCTTAACATGTATTTGTATGGTATGTACCACTTTGTTTTTCTGTTCTTTTGGAGTTTGGTGATGGTGATGATGTATCCGTAAAAGAATGTAACACTCCATGTGCTTCCTCTTTAACCTATCAAACTGAAAAGTGCTTGATATATGCATAGGTTTGAGGGGAAAACTGACCTCTCTTGTCTACCTGCTTTGTAAACTCTTCTTCGTACTTATAGAAGGAACCCAAACAGTCTGTAGATCCAAAAACCTGGAGGAAAAACAAAAAAGATATACCGCTGTTAGCATCAGGAATTTACAATTAATGGCACAATTGCAGAGTCTGTCAATTGAAATTCCTCTCTGCAATGGAAATGCCGGAACTGTCAGGCCATAATAGAGTCCTAGTATGAATTAATAATACAGAAAGGTACTAATATTACTTAGAAATTATACCAGGATACAAGCGTGTGCACGTAAAATCTGACGCACAAGCATCGTGGGAGAATTCAAGGATGCAAATTGCAACAAATAACATTGAGAGACAAGCGTATGAACACTTCTGTCTGTGAAATTTCACTCTTATTGGCAACCCAAAATATCACTCTTATTGGCTATCATAACTTACTCTGCTATGAATCCTTGTAAGATGTTGACATCCAACCCAAAACAATGTAAACAATAACACACAAGCCTTGGCAAAACAATGTAAACAATAACACACAAGCTTTGTCAAAACAATGTAAACAATAACACACAAGCTTTGCCATATGGTTTAAGCCATGACAAAAACAATGATATAGTGTTTAGTACTATATCATTACCAGGTTAAAGCAGCATGATCATTCATTAGTTTGAATCTTCCTGTCCAAAATAACATCGTTACCAGGCTAACGCGGCATGGTCATTTTGGACATGTTTGAGGTTCTGGTTTATTTGAACATTTATAATTAATCTGTTAGGCTTGATAGGCCAATGCTTTGTTGGTGTAACTAGCTATTCCTCCAGTGAGATATGTCACATGGAGAATGATTTGGCAATAGCATATTTATATCAGATAATTGGATATGTTAGAATGATTAGTTTTAACCTATCAAACTGAAAAGTGCTTGATATATTAGAATGATTAGTTTTAACCATGAGTTTGTTGGAGTACTTGCATTTTTCATGTCTTTTTGTGTGAGAGTTTTCTTGTTCTGTTGTCTCTGCGATAATTCTATAAAATTGTTGACTTCTACTTAGTCCATCACATTTATCATGTCACTATTATAAAATCTTTATTATTTTCTGGCATATACTATTGTACACTAGTATGATGATATTTTGAAACATTTGATCTGTCTTCACCGTATTCACCTTATCTTCAGTACATGTCTTGTCAAATACATTTTACTTCCCTGGGAGGTTTCATTAACCTCAAAAGTGACCTTCCTCACTGATCTTTGTTGCGAATGATACACCCAAATTCAGCGCCTGCTTCTATGCAAATATTTTCTGTATGATTTCGTCGTTCTTCATGCCAGGAATGCTTATTTCAAATTTATGCAAACTATTACTCCATGAAAGTAATGTTTCTTTTGCTTAGCCATACAAAATTTAGGAATGTTCTAACTCCTTGCTCTCCAACATTTATCAAAAAAAAGGAATGTTTCTTTTGCTTAGCGGTACAAAATTTAGGAATGTTATAACATTGATATTAATGGTATATGTCAAAAAACACTCGTGAATTACTTAATTTCTCATTTTTAGGGAAGTTTCTTGAATATGTGAAGCTCGGTTGAGAAAGCACTTAGCAAAGAGTGAGTTCTACTGAATGGGGTGTTTGTGTCTGCGTGCAAAAGAGTCTTTAGTTCAAGAGAGACTATTAAAGGAGAATGCAATGCCTTTATCTGGATTGGTTTAGAGTTATAAGAGTCTTTAGTTTATCTTACATTTTAATTGTAACCCTATATTCAAAACAAAGTAATGATCAAGCTTAGCTTATTCCTAAATCCATGTTTTTATAAGTCGTTACTAATAAATTATTTTATTTAGGTTATCATGGCCCGTAACTACATCAGAGATAAAGATTGGATGTACGTGGGTCGTGCAGAACGCATGCAATCTATTTTCGTTAATGGAGTTGGTGCTTTCATGGACTTTGTACGTAGACACGATATGGTCCGCCATGGGAGACTCATTTGTCCATGTAAATTATGCGCGAATAGGTTGCATCAATTGGAGGAAGAAGTAGAACTTCACATTGTGAAGAATGGTTTTGTTAGCGATTACAAAACTTGGGTATATCATGGACAAATTGAAGGTCTCAGTGATGCAGATGAAGAAGAACAAGAAGATGACAACTTATTTCTTGATGAAGAAATGGAGGAAATGGTTGAGGTAGCTCTTGGTAACACTAGCCCTGCTGAAGATCCTCCTTTCGGAGGGCATCGTGAAGACAATTATGATAAGTACATGAATGATGCTAAGAGGCCCATTTATGAGAATGCAAAACACTCCACGCTGTCATGGTTTGTCCATCTATTCAAAATTAAATGTCTAAATAAATGGAGCAACAAGTCATTTACAATGCTCCTCAAGTTTCTTAAAGATTCTATGCCTCCGGGGAACCATGTGCCTGATAGCTGGTACGAAGCTCAAAAGATAATATCTAATTTGGTCATTTGATGATTTCTTTATAAGATGTCAGGTATAAATATATTTTATTTTGATTTATCCGATTAATTTGATTTCTTTATAAGATGTCAGGTATAAATATATTTTATTTTGATTTATCCGATTAATTTGTTATCAATAGGTACAATCTATTTTAACCATGTGATTCATTTATTGAATATTCAGAAGAATTATGAGTTTCTCCCCCTGGATCCTAATCAGCCTCTCAACCGTAATATTGTTTATCGAGGAATGAAGTCTCAGTTGCAAGAGAGAGTCCGGTATAATAGGTGTCAGGTAAAACAAGAGTGTTTTGAGGTGTGGAAAAATACTCCCGAAGAAGAAAGAGAGGCTCTTTGGACTACTCCAGCGTTTTCTTGGATTGATAGAGACTCATGGGATAATTTGTGCGCTTATTATGATTCAGAGGACAAGAAGGTGTATATTTTAAACTAAAATCAAATGTTTATTAGGTAATTATAATTTTGCCTTTGTTTGATTACAAATCTAAATATGATAATAACATGCAGGAAGAGGCAAGACGTAATGCGCAGAATCGGGCGTCAAATTTGCATGGTCGAGCAACTTATACAGGTGGCTCGAGGAACATGAGTCGGGCTATGGTTCGATTGGTAAATTTGCTTCTTAATGCTATTTAAAATTCGTATTTTATAATTCTTAATGTTTTTATCGATTATCCACCTATATTTTTGGTGAATTGTAGAAATGTCAAATCATTGAGGATGGTGGCACACCTACAATGTTGAAACTATATTTGGGTACCCACTCGTCATCAGTAGATAAGATCACTGGAGAGTATACATACCCGGACAACAACACTAAGGAGTATTGTGTAAGTCTTCTAGATGAAAATATGTTTACTACGCCCAAAGTTCTTGATTTTTGTCCCTAGAATTATGTGCTGGTTCCACATGCTCTTCGTCACATAATGTTTCTGGATGTGTTCTAAATATTTACAAACTATTGGACACATTTATTTGGTGGGTGTGCTACGTACGTTCTAAATATATCGCTATATGCTGCATGCATGTTTTCATTCACATATATCTATTCTAATTGTGCACATCTAATGGGACACACGAGGTAATTGTTCTATTCTAATTGCAGCAGATACACAGTTGTGTTGTTTCTGCTGCTGCTGAATTTTTGCCTTCCGAGAACTTGAATCATTTTCTGGTAGAAGCTTGAGAGTAATTCCCATGGCAATAAGCAAGAGTCCCGTTCCATGCTGCCCCGTCAAAGGCTTGGTAAATATCAAATATGATAGTAGAAGCGTTACTGCTTTCCTCGCTGTGGTTATCTGAGAACAATATATATCACCAATAAACAAACTAAAACAGTTTGCAAATACACGTACATGTTTAGAAGTGACAGAGATATCATTATACCATGGCTGTGGTTGCAGGCCCGAATATTGCAATTAGGGACAAAACCGATACTTGACCGACAAATGTGGCCATCGCTTCAAAAATCAACACACCATAAACATATGGATGCTGAAAGTTCAGAGAGAATATAGGCTTTGTTACCTGCGGAGAGGCCATCTCTGAGCAACATAGCTACATGCTGAAATATTTCCTTCTCTGTTTGTAGTAATCACGTATCCAACCTTTGATCAGCACCTGAGGAATAAATTCATGAGCTTGTTGGTTCAAAAACCATAGCTGGGTGGCCGGAGAAGTGAATTGACAAGAAAACTTGAGATCACAGTACCTAGTTCTGTCACAAGTGCAGTAACACTCTCTGAGATGTTCACCAGCACGCTGTTGTAAACAATAAAGATGCACATCAAACTCCTAATCAATAGGTAAATATAAGCAACTCTGCTGTGTGTATCTGCAGATACACACTGCTGTGTATCTGCAGTGTGTATCTGCAGCAGATACACAGCAGTGTATCTGCAGCAGATACACAGCAGTGTATCTGCAGCAGATACACAGCAGTGTATCTGCAGCAGATACACA